TTTTTTTTTTTGGATGAAACTAGCATTTTATGTGGAAACTCACCATGATAAAGAACGTGTAACAGTCAGGAATTTCATTGTAGATGATGGTCTGAAGATTTATAGCCTTCAGCTGGAACTGTATGGTGACATTAATGAGCCTGAGAGAGAGTGTGTTGATATTAGAGTTTTAGATTATCAATTTGAAACTTGCATTAAAAAACCCATTTAACTTACTTGTGAAACTTGAGGGTGAAGTTCCTGTAATCACGGCCCAGACCTGCTGTGGGAGTGGACAAAGGGTTCACTCCAATACAGTCTACAGAGAGGAAGAGAGAAATTCATCACCAACTGAAGCAGCCGCAGTGACCGACAGTGTCCTCGGGAGGCAAGTCTGGTCAACAGCAAGATTTTGTTTTTAGATTTATTTTTGAAAGTGATTCCTGTGGTACACTCGGTAACAAGGAACTGCAAGTAACAACAACGTGCAAAAGAGGAAGTAACAAGATCTTTTAGTTTCATCAACAAAAATAAACAATTCAATTAATAATTATAAAGTATAAATAATTATAAATAATAAAATAATTCAAAAATAATGAATTTATAACTGCTAGAAAACGAATATTTTGGGCTCCTTAAGTCTTTGCCTTGATCCTAACATCTGTTTTAGTTAAAACAACGACTAAAATCAGAACAGGAATAAACTTGGCATGAAATAGAGGCTGGAAAACTCACCTGTGACCACATGCGGATCGATGTTGAAGGTGTCGTTAGCTGGGTCGATCCTGCCTTTTTTATAATACTGCTGACACAGAGACAGCGCACTTCCGTTCACACCGACATTGTACACATACGCATAACGGCCCACTGTCGTCTCCGGCAAAGCCAGGTACTGAAAGACAAGTGAGAAGAATAGGCTTTATACAAGGCATATAAAAATAAACATGACCACTCGTGGCCAAACTCCAGCTGGGAAAGGCAGAATAGCTGCTGTAGATGAATAATATAGTTATTCATAAAAAGTATATATGCATTAAAAAATACACTTACGCAGTTATACAGCCAAACAAACAAGATACTTTCAGAAGACAGAGGCTGAACGTAAGCCAAATTATGTTATGACTACACTGAGCTCACTACCTAAATATATCCCTCAAAGCATATGAATTAGTAAATTGATACATTACCTGTTCTATTGTGTGAAACATGTGGTCATAAACATCACTCTGTGTGTAAACAGCAAGCGCATCATTTGAATCATCGTAGTCTTTGAGAAAAAGGTGTTTAAATGAAGCTGTGTTTTCCTCTTTAAACGTCACCACCATTTCATTGCTTAAGCCAAAAAGTACCAGCTAGACATAATGAAACAGCACAAAAAGAGAGAAGAATCATTTTTAGTAACAAGTGATCAGTGCCAAATGAGACCAAAAATTGGCTGTGTATATTTTTTCTTGTGCATCAGTCAGCTGAATATTTTGCTTAAAACTCTACAAGAGTCGGCGCCGATAGCCTCGTGGGCAGCGCGCCGACATGTTGCTCCTTTGCGCTTCGGGCGTCCCGAGTTCGAGTCCCGGCTCGTGGACCTTTCCCGATCCCACCCCCCTCTCTCACCCACTTCCGTTCCTGTCGACCTACTGTCCTATCTAAATAAAAAAGGCATAAAACGCCAAAAATAAATAAAAAAAACTCTACAAGAGAAATTCATGCTTATTAGCCAGCCTATTAAACTCACTTCAGAGAGCAAAACCAAAGGTTAATTTAGATGGGCCCGCAGTAGGGCATGTCATAGTGGTTAAAGAATAATTTGGGGGTAAAACTGAGACTTTGAGCTGCAACGCTGTCTTTAGTAAGCTGTGGGATGAGTATATGAGCTGTAGAAATAAATTCTAAGAAAAGAGAGGAATTTAAATACCTGTACAGTTACTATAAGTATCTTCAGTATTTGCAATACCAGTTTAAAAGGTTTTCGGCCTTTGGCTTGGTACTTTTCACAGGGACTCATGAAGAAATATTTTAACTTCCTGCGCACTGCTTCCTCTTCTTGGTCAGCACCTATCCAGCCACCTGTTACCGGGGACGGCCTGGGGTTGCTATACTCATCCCTGCAGTCATTCAAATCATAGCCTGTCACCGGAAACAGTAGCCTATCCTCTTCTGAAAGAGAAAGAGTGACACTGATAGTACCACTGGGATAAACACAATGTAAATAGTCTCTTTGTTTCAAAACTCTAATACCCTTTCAATTACATTCACATAAATTACCAAGTTTAGGTTCAGTAAGTTGTTGTTGTTGTGGTTTTGAATGAAATTAAAGTGCCCCTATTATGCCATTTTTAAGGTTGCTAATATTTGTCCTTGACGGAATGACAGCCCTGGAGACTTGTCAATACATAGAAAAGATGGTATCGATTGTACCTTACCAATTAAAATGTTTGTGGGCGGGCATGTTGGCGACGTAGAACGTGGGCAGACATTATGCAGATGTGTTACTTCGTGACGTAGAGCCGCAACAGAATAAGATTCTAATTCCTGACGACTCGTTTAGGCGATTGCGAGCCGACTCTTTTTTAGACAATAACTTTATTTATCGCGCACTGTTGGCTTCACAACTTTGCAGACAGTTTATGTTCACATACAGCTACATGACACACTGCATGAAAGGTAATATTCGAAAAGGCATAATAGGGGCAGTTTAATACTTTTTTTCTAAGGATGCGTTAAATTCACAATGACACAAAATTCACATTATAAAACGGATAGTTCCGGTCCTTGATTCTGATTGGCTGAGCCACGTTCAAAGCTGTTGTAAATTACACTACAAACATACACCTTTGTTTACGTTTGTCTTTTGCTTGGCAACCACTTTGTTGCAACCGCAACTGATTCTGAGAAACTACATTGTTTGGTGGAAGAATACTGTTTTTATTAATATCATTACATTTTATTTACTCTGTTTTATTTTGTGAAACCGTACTACGTATATGGAATAACCGTTTTATAAAAGCAATAAGCCCCGTGAAGCCGTGATTTACAGTGAATTTATAGCAGCTAAGGGGGTTAATAACGCCCCTAGCTGTTATAAATTCACTGTAAACCACGGCTTCTTGGGGCTTACTGCTTTAGTGATACACAGGAATAAAATACATTTAAAAATATATATATAAAAAACAGTTATTAAATGCAGCATCGGTGAGAAGAAGAGACTTTTTTTCAAAAACATTTCAAAATCTTACAGTTTACCCTACACAGCATATACAGTCTATAAAAACAGAACTTGTTAATTTAATTTGAATCAAAGTTCACACTAAGATCACCAGACAGACTGAAAGACAAGATGGCCTCAACTAGAGCCTAAGGATTTGAACTTAAGTCTACTTTAGTAAGACAGAGATCGCCTATATGTGCACAACCCGAAACTTGAGATCTGATGAGCGTTCTCTTCCTCAAAGTGATGCGAGATCACTTGAGACTGGGCAGATTGTCAAAGAAAAAATTGTCAAGGCTTCATTGTTGACCTGCAATGCAGCAAATCTTAATGCTTCACTCCATAGCAAGTCATGTGAAAGGGGCTTAAGACTGGTTAGTTTGTCAAGGACACGTCTTTAATTAGCATGGCTGGATTGTGAATGAATGCTGGATTTTATTTCAGTCTCTTAGTGTGCCCTCAAAGCTCTGTGAGTTTAACAGCTTGTCTTCATTTCTCACAGTGAAGAAGTGTCAAAAACGTCAATCCTGCCTATGCACTTCCTCTACAGCTGTTCTGTGGAACAGTAAAAATTATGCTTCTTTCTTTCTTTCTTTCTTTCTTTCTTTCTCCACAAATCACTGAGTAAACACTTCCCAAAAGTGTTTCTAAGCATTTCTGAAACTACAGGAAATATGACTTTTGGAAGTGGTGAAAGCATGTTTTTCTTGTGCAATTCTGTAAAGACCTTTTTTTTTCTTTTGTGCAAACCAAAACAGTAAGTGATTCATTCAGTCCTGTGTTTTTTATACAGTAGCTCTACCACAATGACTAGTTATCTCAATTACATGACTACAGACAAAGAACTGCCAAGATTATAGCAGGTATATCACTGAGTAAATTATAAATCACACACAAAGCTATACACTAGGGCTGCACGATTTGATGATCAATCAATGATTTTTCTGATAAAAACTGTGTTTGTGATCTAAAATTCAATTAAAAAGGTCCACTGTGTTTGTAGGGCTGGACAAATTGGGCAAATATGTTGTGATTACATGTCAATATGACTATAAAATAAAAATAAATAATAATAAATTGTATTATATTATTACTAAATTAAATTAAATAAATATTAATATTGCAATATTTCACAGTAAAAGAAAACGGAAGGGACTCTTAAATCTCTTTTGTAGATAACAACGTGAAGTGCTTTTTATTACAAGTTAAGGGAAGATGGTTTAAGCAAACGCATTACGTATATATTTATTTAATTAAATAACAGACGATTTGATGATACTAATGCTATATTAATTTCGTTTTTATTGAGATTAATCATACTATACACAGCTACATGCCTACATATGTAACGGAAATATGGTGAAACACCATTTTTCATGCCTCATAAATCACAATCCAGAGTGACAGCGTCTAATCTAGGCTGAACGGAAAGTGAAATACAAAAGACAAAAGTAGGTGAGTCAGTCACTTAAATGAGATTAATGATCACAGCGTTTGTGGGCTGATGATATATGGGAAATTTCCTGCCGTTTTAGTACCGCACAGCAGAAAGTACAGACAATCAGTGTTCCTTTAAGTTCCTGTACTGTTCACACTGAGTATCCAAGCTGATGTGATTTCCCTGATTTCTTAACTTTCTTGAACATCTGACCTGCCGATGACTGCATGATTAAGCAAAAATGGATAGAGACTGAGTGTTTATGAAACTCTACCTATTGGCTCTCGTTGGTCTCTCTAATCAAAACCATCATTGTTCATCTAGAAGCAAATCTGTGTCTGTCAGAGCCAAGCTACTGGAATCTTGCCTTAAAGCACAATGCCTCAAATGCGCCACATTCTTGTTACTGTATAACAGGAAGATTTTCAATGTACTCTAGTGAAGTGATAGGAATCTTCATAGCAAAATTGCAGTCGATGTGGGTGTCTGAAGCCACTCATGAGCACTGGAGTATGACTACAAGTGATAGAGTCAATCAAATGCCGAAAAATAAACTGAAAAAAATCTCATCCTTCCAGTTTTACAGGTAGGCATGTTTTCGGAGCACAGGCGTTTCTCCACACAGGCTTTTGCTGTCATAATAAGTCAAGGGTTTGGCTATCAGCATGTTATAATAATCCTATCACAGATGACATCAGGGTTTGTCGTTCTGCCTGAGCCACCCATGAACTCCACACACCCACACACAAACAAATCTGTGGGTACATAAAGCCACACAATTATATTATGAAAAACTTGGTATGCACTGAAATTTCAGCAAGCAAAAAAGGGCTGCAATTACTGACCAAAAGATGTTTTTGTGCACAAAATGCGGATAAACTACAACAGCTGAACTTGTAAGCTGTGGACTGAACACACTTCGCAGAGACCAAAAATAATGTTACAATAGCAGTATGTATTAAAATTTGTTTGGTTGAAATATTGAGATGCGACTCATTGCCAAAGAACTCTACTATGACTGATTACTTTATTTTTATTTTTTTTTAGCTAAATGAACATTTTAATTTTGGTTTCAGTAAAAAAATGTATTCATTACAAAAATTAATTTGGCGCAACACTAGAAAAAAAAACAAATTATGAAATATTCTCAAGATATTTTTCTTGTATGTTGAACTAGGAGACATTTATATAGAAAAACACTAAAAAAAAAAAAAAAAAACATTAAAAAAAGAGAGAAGTCTTGTTTAAAAGTTGAACTTCTATCAACTTGAGAGCAGCATTTTTTTTTATTTCAGATGCTGCAAAAGATGCAATCACAACAGCAAAACATTTCCATCTATTGCATGTTTTTCAAGGGAAAGCTATACATGCAATACATGCAAAAGTGCGGTCTGTGTGAACGTACCTTTATAGACAATGTGAATTGGTGTACGCAAATGCAAACCATTTTACTTCCATAATTTAACATATTTTTGAGCAAAACATCATAATATTAAGAAAAAAAAAGTAGTACTTTTTCTAATCTATTGTGAAATGATTGGATGTTGATAGTGGGTATTGGAGTGGGTATTACATTATGGAACAGAGTTAAACTGAATTAAGATTTTCTATAATAAATCCTAAATAGGTTTTTGACTATTGGATAACTTTATTAAATAACCAGCAGAAAGTCCTTTCAGTGGGGGAACAAGTAGGGTTGGGTACCAAAACCCGGTACCAACATGGCACCGGTACCTATGTAACCGGTATGTACTAGAATCGAATCAGAATGCAGATTTCGGTGCCATGCCTGAGTGATCGATTGAAATATTTGTCCTCTGGTTCTCCGAAACGGACGTAAGAAGCATCATCACTGGTACCGCATGTGAAAAATAATTTCCCGACTGAGAAAATGCACATGAACTCAAGTCGAAGAGCTCTAATAATACAAATCCAACAAATTTTGTAGTAACGAGAGTCCATGTTGTTTTCAAATTCTGACTTAAAAGCACAACTCGGGAAATGAGCATCCGAAGAGCGCGTGAATGCAGTAATTACACTTGCTCTGATGGCAGGGGTAGCCTTCCGTTAACTAAGCTAAACATGCTTAAATTACAATGCCTAAAGCTAAACTTCCCTTGTATTCACATTTCTAACCCTGTTGTCCAACAAAAGAGAACTTTATAACCTTTTTACTCCACAACACCAGTCAAATGCTTCCTTTTGTGATCTGATGTGGCTTCTTGTCACAGAATGAGGCAGATAATATGTTCCATAGGCTATTTTAAAAAATAATACTTCGATTAGCAATGGATTATAAATATACTTAATTATATGAAAATACCAGAGATGGCTTGAATAACACAGATAAACTATATTGTCGCAGTCGAGTGTTTATTGTCTTTGTTTTATCATTCAAAACGTTTATATGTTCCGTTTACTCAGTTACAGCTATAATTGCATGCCTTTGTCCATATAAGCGATTTCCTGGAAGGTCATTCTCTGACTGGATATGTGGATTTTCTGTGTGAGGGCGCCCTCTGGCGTCCAGTATGAATGAAACAGACATCATGTGTTTATAGTGCTAATGGCCAGTCCATCATTTTTTGAGTAATTTTTATTTATTTAATTTAGTTTAGGCACAGAACCATTTTAAAAGTATCGATTTGGCACCGGTATCGAAAAAAAAAAAACGATACCCAACCCTAGGAACAAGTTGCTACACTGTACAATCCAATAGTTTACCTTACTTAGATTTAATTAGTTATCTTTACTTAGTTGTTATACTTACTAGGTTTTATTAAGTTACAGCTACTTTCAAGGCAAATAAAACAATTTACTTACTGTTTTGAGTGACACTTACTTAAAATATTCAAGTAGCCACAAAGGAACCAATGATATTAATAAACCAGTGAGAGGCAGCCGTGCACTAATATGTTGCTAATGTGCAACATAACAACAGAAGAAGAAGAAAAGAAAAA